CTTGGCTAGGAGGAAGTAGACAAGCACCTCCCATGTGGTTAGCACATCTGGGCTCTTTCTGGTCCAATAGGACTTCCATTTTTAGAATGGTGTGAATTGTGATTTTATATATATATATATATATATATATATATATATAGTCCCACAACAAAGAATTTGGGGGGCCCACTTTGCTAAATCTTTCTTAAAGTGCTTTCAAATTTTTCCCTTTGAAAGTTTCTTTTGAATTTTTATTAGTTAAAATTAGTTAATTAATGCCTGCAATCTATTATTACCTTAAATCCAAAAGACACAAGCTCATTCTCTTCGGTTTCCTCTGCCAATCCCTCACAATCTGCCTCCTCTGTTTGCAAGTCCTGGCCAAGGGTCAGCAAACGTTTTCAGCAGGGGGGCAGACTATATTTTGAAAAAAATAATAATAACAAATTCCTATGCCCCACAAATAACCCAGATATGCATTTTAAATAAAAGCACACATTCTGCTCATGCAAAAACATCAGGCAGGCCCCACAAATGACCCAGAGATGCATTTTAAAGAAAAGGACACATTCTACTCATGTAAAAGCACACTGATTCCTGGACCGTCCACAGGCCGAATTGAGAAGGCGATGGGGCCGCATCCGGCCCCTGGGCCTTAGTTTGCCTACCCGTCTCCCAGAGACTGCAAGAGGTAAATAGACCTGGTGAAAGAAAGAAGAACATGAGGGAAAGAAAGGATTGAAATGGGTGAGAAAGTGGAAGAAAATGCCAGCAGAGGGGGAAAGGCAGCATGCAGGCCGCTGTTGATAAAGGATTTGGGAAGTTGCTGCTCGAATTTTACTAGCTAAAAAGTGGAAAACCCAAGAATTACCAGGGGTGGAAGAATGGCAGATGAAGATGATGGATTTTTCAGAGCTAGCCGATCTAACAGGAAGAGTCTGCAACCAGAAGGAGGAGGAGTATCAGGAAGAATGGACAAAATTTAATGATGATTTAGCTAAATTTGTTAAGTTAAACTAATTGGAAATAGCTTGCAGGTAACAGATTGGCTTAGGATTTATATAAGTTAAGTGATGTTTAACATGTTTAACTTTGAATTGAAAAGATATAAGGATGTTAATAGACTAAGTTAAGTTTATAAGAATTATGATTTATGAATTATGGCAAGGAGCATCTGTGGTGTAGTGGTTAAGAGCGGTGGACTCGTAATCTGGGGAACCGGGTTCGCTTCCCCGCTCCTCCACATGCAGCTGCTGGGTGACCTTGGGCTAGTCACACTTCTTTGAAGTCTCTCAGCCCCACTCACCTCACAGAGTGTTTTTTGTGGGGGAGGAAGGGAAAGGAGAATGTTAGCCGCTTTGAGACTCCTTCGGGTAGTGATAAAGCAGGATATCAAATCCAAACTCTTCTTCTATGATTTGGAAAGCTGTTAAAAGGATATGCATGGAAATTCAACCAAGGGGACGTAAGGAAGTCACGTAACAATGTTAATGAGTGTAATTTTAATAAGGTTATGATTTATGTTTGTATGTTTATTTGTTTGTTTGTTTATAATTTTGTGAAAATTCATTTTAAAAATGGGGTGGGTGTTTGCTTCAACTCGCTTGTGGAGATAATCTCAGAGGTTATAAAGAAAGGAAAAAAATGATAACAAGAAGATTGGAAGAGGGGATTTGTAAAGGATAACAACAGAGAGATGGAAAGATGGGACTTATGAACATCAACGCAGCAGAAATATGAGAGGATTGGACCCTTTCTGAACTCGAAGCATGGGTACCCCCAACAAAAATTTAAAATTCGGCTAAATATTTGAAAAAATTTTGAGTTTGTTATGTATTGGTATAATTTGGAACTAATGTGATATGATTGGTTTGTTAATTGGAAATGTAATAAAAATTATTTTTTAAAAAATGGGGGGGGGGGATAAAGGATTTGGAAAGAAGGTGAGACAAGGGACAGAGTGGCAGCAGAAAAAGTGCCGAGAAGGGGCAAGGAGGCAAGGAGAAAGGAGGAAAACAAAACCCAGGCAGGTGACAGAGGACAAGAAGTGCAATAAGGTAGGAGAAATAAAGGCAGGTGACAGAGAAGAAAAATAGGTTTTGAAAGCAAAAGAAAGCAGTAGAAGACGCAGAAGACGATCCTGTGAAAACCCCCAGAAAGCAGAGAGAGAACGCAACTACTGAAAGTTTGGCCAACAATACATGAAATATGGTTTCACGTACTGGGGAAAAATAGCATGTCGAGATATTTGCATGTGAAGGGTGGTGAGATTCTAGCAAATGAAAATTTGCATCCATCAAAGCTGTCCATTCATTCATTTAGAAACAAAGCATGCCATTTTGAGATTTTATTATTATTTTCAAAAAAAAACTAGACAACCAGTTTTAGAAGAGCAGGGAAACTTTGTTCCATATGCGACAGGAAGGAAGAATGGTCGGATCCAATCTGTTCAGAAGGCAACTCTGATTCATTGCTTTCTTCTCCACAGAGAAGAACAAGCTTCCAAGCACATGATGCATTCTGTCCTAGGATGACATGTGAAAATTGTTACTTTCGTCGAAACTAGTGCTCTCGACAGAAGCTGTCTGCAAAGAATTGGGTTCTGAACACAGAACTCTGTGGTTACACATAGAAGTGAGGTGATTGCCGTGAGGAAAAGGGTTTGAAAGGCCGTTTGAACTTCAACACAAAGTTCTTGAGAGATAATTGTTAGCATATGCTCCATTAGTTGACAATTCCTTGTGTCGTTTAAGGTTGGCACACCTTGTGGATGTGTTCAGATGTAAAAAAGCATTCAAAAATAATAGCAATATTGAAATTTGTTCACATGGTGAATGGTGTAGCACCCTCTGCTGGGCAGAAGAAGCAACTTATGAATATGAACCATAAAGCAAGAAGCCAGTCTGCATTTTTTAAGTGTGGCTGCTTGCAGTGAGAGAGAATAGTGGGTGCTAAAGGTTCAGGTGTAGGAGTGCAAATATCCAGAGTGTGGGGTTACTATGAGGAATTATAAAATATGCATCAAGCCATTGTGTCCACGATGAATGCATGGTGAAGAATGGTCGGATCCAATCTGTTCAGAAAGCAACTCTGATTCATTGCTTTCTTCTCCACAGATAATAATAATAATAATAATAATAATAATAATAATAATAATAACAACAACAACAACAACAACAACAACAACAACAATAATAATAATAATAATAATAATAATAATAATAATAATTTATTATTTATACCCCGCCCATCTGGCTGAGTATCCCCAGCCACTCTGGGCGGCTCCAAATCAAATGTTAAAAACAGTACAGCATTAATATTAAAAACTTCCCTGAACAGGGCTGCCTCCAGATGTATTTTAAAGAGAAGATAGCTGTTTATTTCCTTCACATCTGAAGGGAGGGTGTTCTACAGGGTGGGCGCCACTACTGAGAAGGCCCTCTGTCTGGTTCCCTCTAACCTCACTTCTCGCAGTGAGGGAACCGCCAGAAGGCCCTTGGCGCTGGACCTCAGTGTCTGGGCAGAACGATGGGGGTGGAGACGCTCCTTCAGGTATACAGGACTGAGGCCGTTTAGGGCTTTAAATGTCAGCACCAACACTTTGAATTGTGCTCTGAAACGTATTAAGAGCCAATGCAGATCTCTCAGGACCAGTGTTATGTGGTCCCGGCGGTCAGTCCCAGTCACCAGTCTAGCTGCCGCATTCTGGATTAATTGCAGTTTCCGGGTCACCTTCAAAGGTAGCCCCACGTAGGGTGCATTGCAGTACAAGCTTCCAAACACATGAGTAATGTCCTGCATTCTGTCCTAGGATGACATGTGAAAATTGTTACTTTCGTCGAAACTAGCGCTCTCGACAGAAGCTGTCTGCAAAGAATTGGGTTCTGAACACAGAACTCTGTGGTTACGCATAGAAGTGAGGTGACTGTCGTGAGGAAAAGGGTTTGAAAGGCCGTTTGAACTTCAACACAACGTTCTTGAGAGATAAATTGTTAGCATATGCTCCATTAGTTGACAACTCCTTCTGTCTTTTAAGGTTGGCACACCTTGTGGATGTGTTCAGATGTAAAAAAGCATTCAAAAATAATAGCAATATTGAAATTTGTTCACATGGTGAATGGTGTAGCACCCTCTGCTGGGTAGAAGAAGCAACTTATGAATATGAACCATAAAGCAAGAAGCCAGTCTGCATTTTTGAAGTGTGGCTGCTTGCAGTGAGTAAGAAAAGTGGGTGTGAAGGGTTCAGGTTCTGGTAGGCTCCCAGAAAACCCCTTTGCTACCTACCACCTACCATTTAAACCAGGAGAAGTCAACAATGTGCCCTTCAGATGATGTCTGACTACAATTCCCATCAGCCCTAGCTAGCCAGCATAATCAGTGGTCAGGAGTAATGGGAGCTACAGTCCGAATATCAGGAGGGCTCTGTGTTGGCTGTTCCTGATTTAGACGAAGACTGGTAGGAAACCTTATGTAAAAACAACCCATTGGGCCATAGTATTTGTGAATTGTTCACTTATAAAAAGAGCTAGGGTTGGTTCAACCTATTGGAAATGAAAGACACTGCTATATAGCCCCATATTTTGACATTCTTTGACCTTTGGGACTGTTTTTCCTCTTCATTGTGCAGAAACTAGCCTACCAGAGGACGGAAAACATTAAATTCCCCCCTCTCACTTTTGCCCAAGGCCGTATCCACCCCTGGCATGTGGGCTGAAAATGGTCTCCGCCAACCTTAATATCATCAAAAGTCTCTGTTTGATCTTTTATGGTGTAAAACAACCTCAAATCTTCAGGCCATATTTGGCTGGCTGCTGGTCCCAATTTGGCCTACGAATCCTTTCCTCCCCCAAACCGCGTCTACCGGCCCAACACTTGAAATGGCTGCCAACGCACAAATGGCAGTCTTAAAGTGTGCTCCTGGTTGTGCCTTGGCAAAAGGAGGATTGCCCCTGATGTAACGTGCATTTTAGAGAAATCACATAAAAGTAATGCAATAATTCCTAAAGGATCGCACATTTCACTTTTCTGTTATTTATATAGCACTTTTATTTATATATTTCAAATTTCCAAGCTTGTTTGTTTCGGTTCTATGCCACCTTTGCGGGTGGTTAACAAAGTTATTAACATGACAAATTAAAGCAGAAGAATATTAAAATGGAATTACCAGTCAGCACAAAAAAGCAACCTAAAAGCCAGCATAAACACAAGCAGCATAAAGTACATGTAAGTCCTGCTGTCCACCTGCTCACTATCTGCCAGTTCACTTATCCAAACATAAATAATCATGCCCAAACCTCGCTATACACTCCACAGATTCAGATATCCAAAGAGCCAGAGTTTGCCCACTTCCTCACTTGTGCTTGGCTGGTCAGTGGCAGCCATTTTCGGACAGAAACCGTGGGGAAAGGGAGTGGGAAGAGAGATTGGACAAATCTGTTTTTTGCTTTGCTTCCCTTTAGCTGGTTGGCTGCAGCCATTTTAGGAACAAACCATGGCAGAAGGGGACAGAGATAACCGATTCCCAAAGACATCAATGGAAATTGTGGATTTGTTTGCAAACATTTGCCTAACAAAGGATTTCCAGGAAATGTATTGAGGACGGCTAGCAGGATCTGCTGGTAACAAAGCTTTGGTGGTGACTGTTGAAGGGCCTTGAGTTTACAATGTTTATTCCCCAAGCCTTGCCGTTTTGCAATCTCCCATTGCCCTCACAACAGCCAACAATAACAAAGTACAGTATATAGAAAACATGCAAATATTTTGCTAACTACTGGTCTTTATGACACTACTTAATTTTGCTTCATTCCACACATAACAGCTGAACTCTATCCTCAGTGAGGTCAGGAAAAGAGCACCCATCCCTTTACCCAACCAGCCAGCGCTTCCGTTTTCCAAAGGATCGCGCAGGCTCATCTTGGGTCTTCACTATTTGGTCGACTTTGCTTCTGGGGCACGCTTCTCTTCCTGCTGAGTGACAGAGACAAAAGAAAAGAAAAGCACAGAATGAAGTCAATGCCAGGTTATCACCAACCTAGGTGGGCTTATGGAAGACTGCCATAAAGGAAACGGGGTCAAAGCTTGCCCAACCATGAGGAGGCTGGGGTTACCGCTTATTTTTGTTGCAGTGCTCAATAAAGGTAAAGGGTAAAGGGACCCCTGACCATTAGGTCCAGTCGTGGCCAACTCTGGGGTTGCAGCGCTCATCTCACTTTATTGGCCGAGGGAGCCGGCGTACAGCTTCTGGGTCATGTGGCCAGCATGACTAAGCCGCTTCTGGCAAACCAGAAGTACAGTATATATGCTTTCGAACTGCTAGGTTGGCAGGAGCAGGGACTGAGCAACGGGAGCTCACCCCGTCGTGGGGATTCAAACCGCCGACCTTCTGATCGGCAAGTCCTAGGCTCTGTGGTTTAACCGACAGCACCACCCGCGTCCCTTACAGTGCTCAGTACATATGGCATTAAAAGTTGAGTAAAAGCAAAGTTTTTTGTTTGTTTTTTTTAAGGATAATTGCTCTGAACAAACCCAAAAGAATCCTAAATTTTTGTTAGCCAGCAGAGGCAGTAACCTTTTAGGGGGAAATATGCCTTTGGACATCATGGTAAAGCCCTGCAGGCTGTGTTAAGATGGAAGGCAGAGGTGCAATACACTGTATTGGCTGGCATGGGGGAGAAATCTGTTTCAGTTTGCACTTACGAAGTGAACCTCCCTAATTCACAGTTTCCTAAAGAGTACGCAAACCAAAACATAGGCATCCTTTGAAAGTCACTTTTCCAAATATTGCAGTGCAGTTTCCAAGCCAAATAATGTGTACAAAGATGCATATAGTACGGTATATTTTTAAAAACAACAACACAAGAATGTGCATTCTATTAGGGGAAGTTGCTTTGCAAAAAAAAAAAAAAAAAACCCATCAGGCAAAATTGTACACACATATGCATATCACAATAAATTCAATTAAACTGCTAATGAATCTTCATGAGGACTTTTTAAAAAATTATAAACTCATGTGCAGAATTGAGCTTACTGAAAAATCTTTACCAGTTCCATCCATTATTGGGAGAGAAGTACAAATAAACACAGGGGACAGACTTACTTTGTTATATGTGGTGTCACCAGAATTAGGAGGGCTGTAAGGGGGTGGAGCCTGGAACATAAAAATATAGATACCAGGGGATGAGAGCAGATGTTGAAAAGTGCATGGCTTCAGATAGTGGGGACTAAGCTTTAGAAATCCAGCCACTTGCATCATAACTGTTTTCTTGTTTCAGCTTTTCATCCTCAGAGACCTGAAACTGCTATGCAGTCTCATCCATCTTTTCCAACTCTGTGCTGAATCACTTAAAAGCAGAAATCAGACATTCTCCCAGAAATCATTAATATCCTGTCCAGAATTTTGCAGGTAAAAAGGTGAGGGCCTCCTCAAATTATTTTTGAGGAGCCCCATCTCTTTGTCAAATGGCTGTTTCCCAGGTTAGATGCCCCATAAACCACACTGGCAAGTTTAAGCGAAGGACGAAAGACGAGAAAAACCAACTCACTTTAATCTCAGAAAATTCAAAGCGGTTCACTGAGACATCCCCTTTGACCTCCAAGGTCTGGATTTCTTTGAGGGGAACACGGTGCTTGTACTCCAAAAAGCGATTTCCATTGACATACACCTACAGGAAAAATGAAACAAGCATTCAATTACCAGTTGGCAGGGACAAGAAGGCTTCAGGTGTTTAAAAGACTACCAGGCGTAATGCAATGTAAGTTCTCGTGGGATATATCTGACTGTCAGCTATTTCACCGAAGCTTATTCCAGAGTAATGTAAATGTTTTCTACTTAATTTAACATGTTTTTGCCCTTCCTTTCTGCCGTTTAGATAATCAGCGCAGCTTACACTACACGTAGGGGTCAGCAAACTTTTTCATCGGGGGGCTGGTCCACTGTTCCTCAGACCTTGGGGGGGGCCAGATTATATTTTTTTTGGGGGGATGAACAAATTCCTATGCCCGACAAATAACCCAGAGATGCATTTTAAATAAAAGCACACATTCTACTCATGTAAAAACACCAGGCAGCCCTCACAAATAACCCAGAGATGCATTTTAAATAAAAGGGCACATTCTACTCATATAAAAACACACTGATTCCCTGACCGTCCGCGGGCCACATTGAGGTGATTGGGCCGGATCCGGCCCCTGGGTCTTAGTTTGCCTACCCATGCTACAGAGGTTCACAGCCTCGGGGGGGGGGGCTAAGCTTCTACCTCAGAGCTTTCCAGACTTTTCATGTTGATGACACACTTTTTAGACGTGAATCATTCCGTGACACAGTAATTCAGCTTTACTAACAAACCGGAGGTTAAACTAACCCCTTTTCAGCCCCGGGAGGAGCGCAGGGAGCATTCGCACGATACACCTATACACTGCGGCAGACGCACTGATGTGCTGTGACACACAGTTTGGAAAGCTCTGTTGTTCTATGTGTAAATCTTCCACCCTAAAACAAAGGAGCAGATCCTTGCTCTGTTTTAGCCTTATTTCTACCCAGGTTTTTTGTTTTCTCTATGCTCTGTGCTTCCACCACTAGATGGAGCGTTTTCTTTCTTTTCTACAGCTTTACACTTACTTTTTTTAAAAAAAGCAACGCAACTGTCACTTTCCAACTGCCACTTCCCCAACGTTCTACCCCCTCAGCCCCTGCCTTTGTTTGCATAATACCTCACACAGATTTGAACACCGTATTTGCAATCAAGAAAACAATTCTGAATATTTCGCTGCTTATAGCTCAAAAGTTAGACTGGTTGCAAGATACTTTGGGGTTGCCCTGAGCCAGATAAAGCAACTGAGAAATTTAATTAAGAATAACTGATGTCATTTGTTTTAGCCCAAGCCTGAGAAAAGTGTGTGGGTGAGTCAGAAACAAGATTTTGGCTAGGTAGGGAAGCCGAGTTGTGGTGAGGCAAGCTCACTAGCCCCATTATCATAGCTGTCAATGTTTCCCATTTTTTTAAGGGAAATTCCCTTATTCCGAATAGGATTCCTCGCAAGAACAGGGAAAAGTTGACAGCTATGCCTATTATTTCCTTTTAAGCCAGTAGCTTCACTCCCACAGTGCTGAATAAGACAGTATTTTACCCACAGGGACACACTCTCACTTCACTGCTGGCCTGCACATTCACACTAAGAGCTTATCCCACGTTTCTTCTCCTCCTGCTGCTTTCCTCTGGCAAAAACCACTCTTTACCGCTGAATCAGAGCAAACAGCAATAGGGTTTTCTGTGGGTTGCATTTTGCTCCGATTAATGGTAAAACACTGGTTTTTCCTGGGTGGTGGTGGTGGTGGTGGATAAACAACAGCAGCCACCTGGACCTGTGCCTAGAAAGTGGGGAGCCAAGTCACATGTGGACAAGCCCTGATACAATCCATGCTGAGGTAACTTGAATTCTGATTGGCTGGTTAGTTCTAGACCCTTAAATAAACTGCTTTGAGGCTTTCCCCCCCAAAATCAAGCAGCATATAAATTTTATGGCTTAAACAAATAATAATTTTAAAAAGCAAACCGCTGTATTTCTCCTCAGTTATTTACCCAGCATTGTTGCACGCCACCCCAATCTCCACAACAGTGCGAGACTCCAGGGGTCCTGGCAGAGTTCGTGTGTCCTTTGGGAACGAGGCACAGCGAAGACTGTCGTGTCTTTATAACAGATGGTTTATTTACACATATATTCAACCTGAGCCTACGATGAGTCCTGCTTCTCTCATGGCCACGATTCTGGATTCAAGCTGCCAGCCCACATGGTGCTCTGATCCCTGCCTTTCTCCAGCCTGCCGCCTCTTACAAACTGACACCTTTTTCCCCTAGCTCACCTCAGGCAAGCTGAGATCTTAAGTGCAACTCTGCTAACTGACACAGAGATGGAGAAGGGGCCCCATCCCTCTGCTGCCTGGTACAGAGTCTCTGCTAATGGCGCATATCCCTGCTTTGTTTGCTTAGCGACTCGGCTAGTCTCAGCAACTGCTGCATCTGGGGATTGGTTAAATCCTAAAACATTTCTGGTTCCAGGAATATAGGAGAGTCTTCCTCTCCTCCTCAGCCTTTCCTTTTCCAGCTGACACTCCAGGTTAAAAAGGTAAAGGGACCCCTGACCATTAGGTCCAGTCATGGCCAACTCTGGGGTTGCGGCACTCATCTCGCTTTACTGGCCAAGGGAGCCGGCGTACAGCTTCCGGGTCATGTGGCCAGCATGACTAAGCCGCTTCTGGCGACACTAGAGCAGCGCACGGAAACGCCATTTACCTTCCTGCCGGAGCGGTACCTACTTATCTACTTGCACTGGTGTGCTTTCGAACTGCTAGGTTGGCAGGATCTGGGGCCGAGCAACGGGAGCTCACTCCGTTGCGGGAATTCAAACCGCCGACCTTCTGATCGGCAAGTCCTAGGCTCTGTGGTTTAGACCACAGCGCCACCCATGCCACTCCAGGTTGCTTACTATCAAATGGAGTAACCTGGCTCACCGCCCCAGTCCCACCGCACCTGATAGCAGCCACTCTCAAGATTGACGGTCATCTCAAAAGAACTGTTCTGCTTGAAAGGCATGCTGGGGGCAATTTCCTCTTCCCCCCAGAAGACTTCGTCACTCTTCCAGGACTCCCAGAGCTGTTTTTTACTTTTCATCTGCGTGTTGCACACGACCACTGGCTTTAGCGTATCAAATCGCGGATTGAAGTGGAAGGCGATGTCGCCATTGGCGCACAGGAAATTCACTGCAAATCTGAAATGTGAGAAGGGCAAACGCACTGTGAGGAAGGAGAAAGCGGCCAATCGCAGAGGGAAAGGAACAGGAAAAGCCAAGTGGACAAAGAAGCAGGAAAAACAATACACATGTGGTGGGGTTGTGAGGAGATTAAGAAATATTGGGGAGTAATGCATGAGGAATTAAAGAAAATGTTGAAAATCCCAATTGTTAGAAAGCCAGAGGCATATCTCCTAGGCTTGATAGGGAAAGCTATACCGCAAGTGGGGAAAAAAGGAATTTTTCTATATGCAACTACAGCAGCCAGGGTAGTGATTGCTTCTAAATTGAAATCTCAAATCTTGCCCTCAAAAGAGGAGTGGATTTGCAAATTAAATGAATATTTAGAACTGGCAAAGCTAACCTCAATCGTAAGATATCAGTCAAATCAAAAATTTAAAAAGGAATGGCAATGTTTGGAAGATTATATGTTAAAATCTTGTTCTGAGAAAGATATGCTAATCTGCCTAGAATAAAAATGTAAAGTGTATCCATGAATTGGAAGTGGGAACACCACAGCAAAGTTTCTGTGCACCTATAGCATGCCCATTGATTATCCTCACCGAGTCTTCTAAGCATGAATATAATTCTATCAAGGCATGTACTTGACAGTGCTCTGAATTAACCCTCCAACGAATAACAGGCTGAAGTTCGTTCCCAGATCCTTATCCCCAATTCCCAGTTCCTTGCTTGACAAAACAGAGAGCTGAGGGAACAGCTTGAATCAGGACTTCTGGTGCATGTGCCCCTGTAGTCCAATACACCTCTGTGATAAGATGCTCACTAGCTCTCAGTAATATATATATATATATATATATATATATTCATGTATATTCCAGGGGAAGACATTCATTAACATGCAAGTCTCAAGATTTGCTCTGGCTACTGAGAAAATGCAAGCCAGGTTCCAAGAAACTTGGTGTGTGTGTGCTTCTGTTCTGTTGTAATATTTAACACTTTATAGCTTATTGAAGAGTTACAGTGTGTGATATGCATGTCATAGAATTCTATTTAATACTGATCCAGAGCAGAACCCCAATGTACAGTGAAATATACTCCAGGGTTAGTACATAAAATATAGTTAGCAGAGTAAAAATTTAAACACGTTGCAGGATTCCCTAAAAATAGACCAGAGGCTATTAATAGTTCATCCAGCAGAACTTTACTGCTACTGAAGGCACGTGAGCATAATGGTCACAAATCCAATACATTCAGGATTGGCACTGTCCCTAAGAAATCCAGTTGCAGCAGACTTAACTTAAACGTATGATAACTTATAATAAGTCTAAACCTTAACACTATACGGTATACAGAACACCACACCAAAAGGAAAAGAGATAGAAAGGGAAAGTGAATCCCAGGCTCCTTCTGGCCCTACTTTTATAGTCAGCATGACCTTCACAGAAAGAGATAAGAGAACCAGTTTAAACCAACTGTACTAGCTTCTCTGGAGATAATACTCAAACATCACGAACCTTCTTGCTTGTTTCTTTCACACAGAGAAGTTTCAGAAACCTCTTGAATTAATTGAAATAGGAAAGATCTCTACACATCAGATCAATACAGTGGTACCTCGGGTTACATACGCTTCAGGTTACATATGCTTCAGGTTACAGACTCCACTAACCCAGAAATAGTGCTTCAGGTTAAGAACTTTGCTTCAGGATAAGAACAGAAATTGTGCTCCGGCGGCACGGTGGCAGCAGGAGGCCCCATTAGCTGAAGTGGTGCTTCAAGTTAAGAACAATTTCAGGTTAAGAACGGACCTCCGGAACGAATTAAGTACTTAACCTGCGGTACCACTGTACTATCTGCAAACTGACAGTGCAAGGAGGTGTTATTAGTTTTCAGGTGTGTGTTGTGTGTGTGTGCTGAATACCTCAAAATGTTTACAGTGGTGCCTCGCAAGACGAAATTAATTCGTTCCGTGAGTTTTTTCGTCTAGCGAATTTTTCGTCTTGCAAAGCACGGTTTCCCATAGGAATGCATTGAAAATCAATTAATGTGTTCCTATGGTCAAAAAAAGTCCAAACAAAGCCAAATTTGGTACAACAAGAGTTTATTAAGTGCTCTTTAAAGTCACACATACTGTAAAGAGCATTTCAAAATTCAAACCCAGAATTTTTTTAAAAAAACAGCAGAGTTGCTCAATGGTCACAGAAAATCATAAAAATGCAGGGGGGGGACGTACAAGCTTCCAGATTCTTGCAAACCCCTCCCCAACTGTTCCCCCAGCCAGCCACCACACAGAAATTCAAATCCAGAATTTTTTTCATCTTGCAAAGCAAGCTCATAGGGAAATTCGTCTTGCGAAGCAGTTCGAAAACGGAAAACCCTTTCGTCTAGCGAGTTTTTCGTCTTGCGAGGCATTCGTCTTGCGGGGCACCACTGTATTTAGCTCAGCCGGTAGACCATGAGACTCTTAATCTCAGGGTTGTGGATTTGAGCCTCACACTGAACAAATATTCCTGCATTGCAGGGGGTAGACTAGATGACTCTCGTGCTCCCTTCCAACTCTACAGTTCTGTGATACTTTTATTTGTTTGTTGTGTCTTTTTTGTGCTGGTCTATTGCAACAACGAATGGCAACGAAATCAAGCGGCAAAATAAGCCCCACAGTAACACATTCAAATCAGCAACAACACTTTTCAAACTTTTTTAAATTTTATTTTAAATCAGCATTTCTTTATGGAGTACTATTTTTGTAAATTATTCCTAAATGAACTCAAGAAGATTCAACAGCAGAACATGGCAGCTTCACTACCCTGACAGACTGCATACATCACCCCACATCCATGATTTTGGTCACAGAGAAAGAAGAGAGGATGGGGATGGAGGATGGAGAGGAAGAGATGGATGGGGCAGAACAGCTCCCAAAAAACAAAGGGACTCGAACATGACCAGCAGGCTTTACAAACCTTTTCGTGTACGGTCGGACAAAGCCTTGGATTAAAAACCTCTTTCCCTCACTGAGGCCTTCAATATTGGTCCAAGCAGCAGCAATGGGAAAACTCTGTGGAGTGGGGAGGAAAGTGCAAAAAATAAGCTCATCACATTCTCGATCCAATAGCCTCAAACTCAGCCTCAAGATCATCCCAACCGTCATGAAGATAACTCACATTTTAATGGAAACTGTTTATATCGGCTGCATACATGCTATAGTTTTAAAGCACATTTGAAGCACATTCTCTCCTCACCTCATTGTACTTTGTCAGGGGTTGCTGAGAATCATAACTCTCTGGGGGATAATGCCAGAATGCCCAGAATTATTTGAGGGGGGGAAGGCGTGTCGAATGTATTTTAAAGGTAGAGTTTTATGTATCCGTTGTTTAAAACGATAATTTGTTTTAAGAGCATGGCCTTCAAGGGCCCAGGGTAGAGATGAGAACACTGCACAGAACTGCAGCTCAGGTTTTGAGAGTCTACCCCCATCTTCTGTGCTGGTATAAACTGCATTTATATACTAATATTCATTCATTCATCCATCCATCCATCCATCCATCCATCCATCCTTTATTGGCTTAATTTAGACCATAAAAACCATAAAAGAGAGGGAGAATCTATAAAACACAGGTAATCCAGACATATTAAACACATAAAACATAGAAGACTCAGTACTAAAAATTAAGGAACGGGAAACCTCAGAACACATTCTCGGCTAAGGAATTTATGATCAGTACCAGGACCAAGATCAAAAGTATTTTTGCCCAAACCCACTCCTAGTTCTCCACCCCCAAACCCCTGTGTCCTTTTTCAGCAACCTAACTTGGGGTCAGGGGATGTGGGTGGCGCTGTGGGTTAAACCACAGAGGTTAGGACTTGTCGATCAGAAGGTTGGGGGTTCGAATCCCCGCGACGGGGTGAGCTCCCATTGCTCAGTCCCTGCTCCTGCCAACCTAGCAGTTCGAAAGCACGTCAAAGTAGATAGATAGGTACTGCTCTGGACCTAATGGTCAGGGGTCCCTTTACCTTTAACTTGGGGTCAGGTAAGTTTTTCAGTTAGAAAAGATCCTGTTAGAAAACTGGAGTCATAAAAACTTGCCGATTTGACACAATAACTCCTGGGAGATCTCAATCTGCCTTCTGCTCACCTGACTTCCTGAGAGCAAAGGCTCTTCTACTTTCCCCAAATAATCTTTAGGCTGCTTTCCCATACCCTGCAAGCCCCATTTAACAATGGGACTTACTTCAGAGTAGCCAAACTTTCAACCGTGTAGGTGATTTCACTGAACATGGGATGGAGAGGAAGATTCTATCCTGAAGAAACTCTTACGCAGATTCACAAAACTTCTGAGAAGTCAACAACATGATTTTCCCACAAGGCAAAACAGGGGCAGTGCTCTGCTAAGGAAAGGGGCATTAAATACGGGCTGTGCCAGCTAAAATGAGGCCGTTAAGAGCCGATCCTTTCCTTAGGAGTGGACTGCATCACATGTCAAGAAAGATGCTGTCGCTTTTCCTGATGATGATAAACCAACAGCTCAGTGCTGGGGATCAACAGCACATGTTAAGGCTGAGCCAGAAGCACCACCCCACTCCCCCATGAAGAAAGTGTGGTTCCCCCTCTGACATGCCCTTTCTCTGCAGCCCACTCACCATCTTGGAGCTGGTTCGTCAGCTTTTCTTCTCAAGTTCTCCTGGAGTGAAAGTGAAAGCAAAGCCTCATCTAGCAAACATCAAGCTTCCTCAGGAAAGGGGTGGGACACAATTCTGGCAGCTCTTTTTGAGCAAAGTTCAGGCCACAGGGAGAATATTCTTGTGGAAGGGAGGGATGGGCCAGTCTGCCCATTTTGGTTTCTCTCGATTTTTCATTTTCCCAGTCTTAAGTATAGGTAAAGGTAAAGGGGACCCCTTTAGTTAGCATTCTAGAAACTGATGACTATATAGTGCAAAATAAAATACACAGCTGTTGTTAGTCCTCCCCCCGCCCAGCTGCATTGGCTGCTTATCTGCTTCCAAGTACAGGTCAATGAACCTGCCTTGACCCATAAAGCCTGAAATTGGTTGGGGGGCCAAGTAACCTGGAGGACTCTGGTGGAATCTAAGGTAAAGGTAAAGGGGCCCCTGACCATTAGGTCCAGTCGAGGCCGACTCTGGGGTTGCGGTGCTCATCTCGCTTTATTGGCCGAGGGAGCCAGCGTACAGCTTCCGGGTCACGTGGCCAGCAGGACTAAGCCGCTTCTGGCAAACCAGAGCAGCGCACGGAAACGCCGTTTACCTTCCCACCAGAGTGGTACCTATTTATCTACTTGCACTTTGACATGCTTTGGAACTGCTAGGTTGTGTTTTAATGTTGTAACACTCCCCTGGTCCTTAGGGTGAAAGATGGGTAGCTAATAATAACAATGGGTTCAGATTTCTCTGTGGATTGCTGTTTCCATGTGCACATGTGTCCAAAATCTATGTCAATGTTTCCCATTCCCACTAGTGGGCGGTGTGCTTGGTGAAATATATTTGCATTGTCTGTTGCTGTCCCCTCCCCTAAATCAGCACTTTTCCGTCCACCATAACTTCTAGAAACCTCAGATCCATTATGGGCATGCCTGCAAGTATTTGTTGGTTTTATTTTTTTAAGGAGAGGAATGATCTGTTGCAAAAGATATTTTCTTGGAGAAATAATGGTTTCTCTTCCTAATGTTCACAGACTCTTCAGAATCCATATACAAGAGGCCATGAAAGCTCAGACTCATTTTTATATACTAGCCAAAAATATTTCTTCCACAAACATTAAGTTGCATTCTCTTTTATTTTATTGTAAGTAGATGAGGTATAGCAGTTTATAATCCTTTTTAAAAATAAATTTGTTTTCTGTTCTGTGTCGTCTTTCTGAGCATTGTCTTCTCTTTTCCCCTCTTTTTGTTTTGTTCCTGTAAAAAAAACAACCACACACAATTTTAAAAATGCAAATGAGTTACCGGCACCACAGGTATTCCCCATTCATCACAGTCCTTCAAAGTGGTCCAGAATGATACTCTGACTGATTGCATCAGCCACCACCAAGAGATCCAGGAGATTCATCAGGGTCTCAGCCTCCCTTGTCTTCCAGGGAAGATCATCCACTGGAGCAAGGAGAACCAATGTTGTATAGGTTACCATACGTCCAGAATTTCCTGGACATACTCAGTATTCAGCCCTCATAAACAGCGTCTGGGCGGAAATCGCTTAAATGTCCAGGAAAATCTGGCCATATGGCAGCCATGTTGGTAGTGTGTCCCTAACCCTAGCCCTATTGTTGTACCCTCTACACGTTTTGAACTACAACTCCCAACAGCCCCAGCAAGCCTGGCCAATGCAGAGAATTATGGGAGTTGTAGTCCAAAACATCTGGAAGGCATTACATTGGCTACCCCTGCCCTACAGAAGGCCAGAGCAGTTTAAGATTTCAAAACTAGGATAGACATCACAATGGAACAGATCCAAATAACCTGCCTTCATCCAAGCGTACATGGAAGTCACATTGTACTGATACATCAGATTTGGCCAGGGTCAAATGATTTGACACTGGTCAGTAGTATCAGTAGGACTAAGGTGTTCCTTTAAGAGAGGTCTGACTGACTACTGCAAACTTTCCTCCTCCAACAAACCTTTTAAGTTGAGTTCGCACCCAGTCTGCATCTGTACTGGAATTATTTTCAATGTGTTTTTATTGCTTTATCACTTGTTGCTCTGCAAATCTGTCTCCTTTGGGAGGAAGGGTGGGAGATATCAATGTAATAAATAAATAAACTTGCCCAACAACAGCTCCTTTAAGATTAGATTGCCTCATTTCAAAGGGCTTCTCTTTAACTGACAAACGGCTGTTTTCCTTACCGTAAGCAAGAGAAACCACGTTGACAAGTTTTAAACGGGGAAGGATTAAGAAGCTTTAAAAACCTGCAACTCACCCTAAGAGACCCTCTGCAAGTTGACATCCCCTTTGATCTCCAGAGCCCGGGCGCTAAAAAAGGGAATGCGGTGGACGTATTTCAGGAAGTCTTTACTATTGACAGTTACCTAGGGAAAGAATAGAACAAGAAAGTGGAAGAAGACAGGAAGAAATTTACAGAGATATTGTAAAATTAATGAATGCTAGAATGATGTTGGATTGAAATTAAGTGGTTTCTAGCTGTATAAAGCTATAAAGGTATATGGTATAAAGGTATATGGTATAAAAGAATATGAAAAAACGGTTTTTTATAAGTAAGAATTTAATGTTATAATAACTTAAGATTAAAGATCAGGGTAGAATAAAGAGGGAAAGAAACTGCTGAGCTAATAAATTGAATTGGAACACAAAAAAGGGAGGTATGAGGAGGTCCGGGAAACAAGTAAATGAAAAATAATGTGATGAAAAGATTGATTGTTTTTAACTATTTTTATTTTGTATTTTTTCTTTTTTCTTTTTCTATTTTGCAATGTAAAAACCCTAATAAAATGTTATAAAAAAAAGAGAAATAAATGCACACACACACATACACAAAAGAATAGAACAAGAAAGTGACAGCACATGCAGATTTAGGGCAGCACAACTGGTACCTCCGCATAGGGTGCCGAGCAATTGTCATCTAAGACATGTGCCCTCTCTGAGGGATGTGTGGAGGGTGGTGGCATGAGAATGGGCCTTTTTGGTGATGGCTCCCTGCTTGTGGAATGCTCTCCCTAGGGAGGCCTGCCTGACAGCATCATTATACAGTGGTACCTCGGTTTAAGAACAGCCCTGTTTACAAACTATTCGGTATACGAACTCCGCAAAACCGGAAGTAGTGTCCCGGTTAGCGAACTTTACCTCAATCTAAGAACGGAAGCTGAACGGTGGAAGGGCACCAGCGGCGGGAGGTCTCATTAGGGAAAGAATGGCTTTGGTTGAAGAATGGACTTCCGGGACGGATTAAGTTTGTAACTGAGGTACCACTGTATACAGTAGTACCTCAGGTTATGTACTTAATTCGTTCTGGAGGTCTGTTCTTGACCTGAAACTGTTCTTAACCTGAAGCACCACTTTAGCTAATGGGGCCTCCTGCTGCCGCTGCTGCACGATTTCTGTTCTCATCCTGAAGCAAAGTTCTTAACCTGAGGTAATATTTCTGGATTAGCGGAGTCTGTAACCTGAAGCATATGTAACCTGAAGTGTATGTAACCCGAGGTACCACTGTATCTTTATGCAACAACATTTTTTTTCCGCCCAGGCTTTTGCATGTAAATTTGGAGGGTTTCAGACATTTGTTGTCTCTTTTTAGTGGGTGAGATGTGTTAATCCTGCGAAAAAGCTACTAATCAGTAGAAATAATCATAACTATCATAATAATGACTACCACTAGGAGTCAGTAAGAAGTCTCATCGCCTAGCTCCCATTAGCAGCCTCGCCACGATGTTCTCAGCTAGCTGCTGCCTCTAAACTGTCTTCAAAGGCAGCCACACATGGCCAGATTCTCTCTGTCCAAGAGAAATCATTGTTAGGAAGCCAGTCTCAGAAATGCTTCATGCCTCAGAGGCTATTTGCACCTCCAGTGACAAAGATGAGTTCACTAGGAAGATGAATTCATACTTTGAAACATTCTTTAGATAGGAGAGGGAAACGTGCCTTATCTAATATATTAACATCAGGGGCTGTGTGTTTTCCGAAAACAAGGAGTAAAGCTCAGAGCATGTTTGCATTTGCTCATCCTTGAGAGTATTTGGGGATGTGAAAGAATAGAAGGAGAAGCAAACTCAGAAGCTTTATGCTCATCTATGCTCTTGAGAGTACCGTGGACAACAAGAAGATCAAAACTATCCATTCTGAAGGAAATTAGCCCTGAGTGCTCACTGGAAGGTCAGGTCCTGAAGCTGAGGCTCCAAGACTTTGGCCACTTTGGTCATTGGAAAAACTTTTAAGAATTCACATTAGGTAGTCAAAAAACAGTAATTTAAACAAAATGTTTATAAAAAATAAGATAATTACTTAACGTTTAGCTTCCATTGCACATTATATCCACTGAAGTCAAAAGAAAAAGTATAATGTTCTAGATATGCCCTTTGAGAAATTTGGTTTTGGCAACTGCAAAACAACATCCTTGAAATCAGCGCTTGCCTTATCTTCTACAATGGGGAAGACAAACATACAAGATCCTGTTTCCCCCCCCCCCTGAGATATGACACTTGATAATCGGTCATATAATATTTAGAAATATTTTTGACCATGTAGTAAACAACAGTTTTTTTCTTTTCAAATTTCATGAGTAGGAAAACAGTTTTGAGATTTCATGCAAACTTGTATATTGGGGCACCATTGTACACTAGTGGGGCACTTTTATATGTATCAATGAGCCCCATGTCTTAGTGTATCAAAGTGCCCCAACAGACATTTTCAGAAACAATTATTAATAAAACCACTGAACTTATTTAAAAATCATGTTTAATCCTGATTACTGAGTGGGATAACTTACCTTTGGTATTTTTAAATCTTAACTAAACGACGTAAAACAACATTGGAACACTTTTACATTTCACATAATTTTTTAGTTGGCCTCACTAAAAACACACCTACTCTTGTCAAACACCAATGGCGAACTGGCAAGCGGCGCAGTCGCAACTGCCGTACTCACATATGTATAGTGATGTCATGACACAAATAACGTTTCTCGATATTGAAATATTATTGGTGTATCAATGTGCCCCTTGCATCAATGTGCCCCGTCTCCCCCTACACTATTCTAGCCACAGCGGTCACGTAAAGAAA